AAACTAAACACGTTTCGCTTTCACATTCGAGGTTGAATCGAGTGCTTTAATACTACTCGTTTCTTCGTTGCCTTTGAATTACAAAAATAGCAAAAATACTACTAGAAAACAATCCGTATTTTTCTACGGGGTCAATATTACTCAAAGTAAAACAGCCGGAGGGCCTAACTAAGCTTGAATCCGATTTCATTGCTGCCTGAGAAAGCGGAAACCGCGTCTAAGGGGCTTTTAAGTATTCCCCAACGGGATCGTGCAAGAGACACTGGCCGTCAAGGGTAATAAAAGAGTTCTGGACGGCCTATCGCGCACTAGATGCTGGCTAAAAGTCAGCAAACAACGCGATCAACTAAGCTGTCCGGCGACACTTCAAACACAAACGGAATTACTACCAGGTCTAATCAACGTACCATGCTGTTTTTGTATCCACATGGAGCGTAAACGTAAACCAGTCATTCGAGAGATAAGCGTTATTTCACTGGCTGAAAACAGCGCTAAATGATATTTCTTTCGTTGTAACCACCAATCGTCAACAATACAGCAGTTTTCGTTCGAGTGTCGAAAAAAAATTCATTAATTGGCTTTGCTCAACTGCGCGACACTACTGGCTAAAATACTCGGGCCACTTTTTCATCCAATTAGCAGTCGCACTCGTTTTCCCGCGCTTTGGGTCAGCTACATTTAATAGACCACTTTCGATATATTAAAATTCAGCTTGATAGTGAGGCCCACAGGACACAAACAAAAGAAATGAAAAAACATGGTCATTCAATTTCCATTCTTGGTGTACTCTAAGCCTCACTGCCAAGCCAAATTTTAATATATCAAATGTGGTCTATTACTTCGAGTTTTGATTGGTTCCCCGTATTGCCTGTTTTTGATTGGCTTAAGTGATTAGTTTTTTTTTTTTTTGACGTTATGGCACTCAATTGAAAACCGCTTCGACAGCTTTACCACATGAACACACAGAACACACAGTCTAGTGAGGTACACGTGCTCATTCGGTTCCCCGGAATCTAACCGCACTCACGCTAACCTCTGGTTTTTTTCTTCCCGACATCGGATAAGGTAGGCTTTAATCGACAATGTAACACATTTAAGTCTCAGAAAACGCCCGAAATTCGCATGATGGTGCGCATGTTGGCCTCGTTACATGGCGAATTTGAGCTCGTCTGGGTCCAAGTTTCATTTCGTAGAGAGGAATGTATGCACCTCATTTTGCGGCGATTAACAGGTACTTTTTGGGTAGTCGAGGTCCTCGGAACATGTACCATAACCGTATATTTCAGTTACTCGGTAAAAGCATTGCTTCAGCCATTTTCCGACGGTCCTAAAAGATAGCAAATTATCGGTTAAAGGAATGCTTGCGACGGGCGAGTGTTTTACATGTAGAAAGGATTATCAATCTTGTCCGAACATTCAGATGCAATCGCGGGCTAGTTACCGGTATTGTAGTTTACATCTAAAGCCTTTTAAGAAACGAATCACTGTAAAACCAAGAACTAGAGAGCCTTAGCATCACATAGAGGTAAAACCTTAACATCATTAACAGTTATCACACTACGCTGGCCATGAACATTTGATTGAATTTGCATTCGTACATACGAAGAGGTCCACCCTATAACATTAGCAACGTTTTCTAATTTTGCAGGAACCTGACAAGAGATGGCAGGAAATGTTAACCAAAATGTAAGTAAGAAACACATCAACGTATATTAACAACTTTTAACCTTATGCTAATACTCAAACGGATACATCACAAATCTTGAAAAAGTTCGTGCTATTTCATTATTGTAACGAGGAAGACTGATATTACCTGCTT